AGAGGACTGTTGTAAGATTTAAATAAGCATAAAGGGCCTGGCACATAGTAAATGCCATGTAAATGTAAAAATATAATAAGTATTATTACGCTTGCCTGTGTTCTGAGTAGCTTCCCTGGAGGTTCAGATCTTGTTTGGTGGCCCCTTCTCTGCTTCCTCCCTACCAGGCTTCCCTTCTGTAACCCACGTAGAGGTGGGCAGCTTCCCTGGGATCCTCCGCAGACCTGTTGTTCCTGTATCGTACCACCGGCCACCGGAAGTAGTTTACAAGGTCTATAAGTTATGCTTGCCTTGGGGGCATTTCTGCTGGAAGGATCACAAACAGGCTCTGCTGGAGCTTTTGCTTTCCCCTCAGGCCAATGCACAGAGTACAGTTCCCTGCAAAACCACCGTGGGCCCTTGAAAGCACCACAGAAAGGAGGGGCTACCCAGGCCTTAGCTCAGATGTTTGTCACTTACCCTTGCAGAATTGTCAACTTTTTGGAGCTGGGAGCCTTTAGCAATGAGGAGGGGTTATACTTCTTCTTGTAATCTAGTTGGGATCTGTAAGACAAGCACCCTTCTGTTGATGTTGAAGGTAAGATTGCCTGCCTCTCTGAGGTTGAACAGGTTTCCGCTCGATCATGGTCATAAAGCACAATGAACAGTTCTCCTCCCTGTGCCTGTGGCCTGCCTTGGGCTTGCCACTGCTAGGGACCTTACAAGTCACTAACTGGCCACTGGGGATCCCTTAGTGAAAAATTTCATTATTACAGGACTGCCAAGAGCTCTGACATTCACAGCTTCACCTCAAGGCACCAACTCATCCCTAAGTCAGTGATAATTCAGGTCTACATGATGTCCTCATGCTTCAGGCTATTCTTTGCTTTAAGAAGGGGTGACAGTTTTTTAGTTTTTGAAATAGTATTTTTTTTTTTAAATTCTCACCTGAGGACATACTTATTGATATTCAGAGAGAATGGAAGAGGGGGAGAGAGAGAGGGAGAGAAACATTCTTGTGAGAGAGAAACAGCCATTGGTTGCCTCTTGTATGTGCCCTGACCAGGGACTAAGCCTGCTACTCAGGCTTGTGTCTGGACAGAGAATTGAACCCTTGACCCTTTGGTTTTCAGGATGATGAGCAACCAACTGAGCCACACAAACCAGGGCTGAAATATGCATTCTTAATCCCCCACTTCTTCCCTGCAATCTGGGGTTCTTGTAGTCCTTAGTGAAGTTGTGAGAAGCTCTTACTCCTTCCTTTCTCCAGCATGCCCCTGTCCTCCATGAGATAGAGCCTTCTGCTTGACACCTTTTGCCCTGTTCTCTCTTGTGCTGGCCTGTGGCTTCTCCCTACCTAGTCAAACAGAATCTCCCTATTCTTTATTCATAGCCAGCTCTGATGCTAACCTCAGTGCCCCCTTCCCAGCCTCCATCCATTCCTTAGATGAATGGACACCATTACCAGAGCTGCAAATGTGTCCCTGTCCCCACAGCAAACTGTCATGATTCTGCCTCAGTGAAGTGTGGGAAGGCCTTTAATTTCCAGTTTGTGGACAATTGAAATGATTTCTATTAAAGCTGGTACCCAAAGACAGGTCAACAGACACTCCAGAAAATATCTGGAGCCAGGTGAAATTCATGCAATGGAAGAAGAGGCTCTTTGCCTTTGCCAGGCAAGGCCTCTTTGGAAATATTACTCATCAGTCAAACTAATTTGTTTATCAATATTAAAGATGTTCAAAAAATTGACAGAGCATACTACCATCCTGCATTTTGACAGAGTATATTATATAAAGTATAAGTTTCAGATATTTGTCTCATTTTTATTTTAGAACTATTAATAATAAGGTAAAGCATTGCTTACAGATGTCAAAATGAAATGCTTTTAGATCAAGTTGTTGGAGAGCTTCTTGTTAAGTCACTCGGCCTCCTTTGAAATTTTTCTTACTTTACAACGATTGATTCTTATATCTCCTTCTTCAAGTCTTGTTTTATGTGGGATAAATTTTAAATGTATAAAGCCTTCCTTGAAAATTTTTATTCAGCTTCTTTGAGTTAGGAATCAACTCTAGTCAGTAAACAGCTGATTTATTAGAGAAATAATCTTAGGTTGGTATTCTATGCGGAAGAACAGGCTCTATTCAATCTTTATTCTCTTCAGTGGAGAAATCAGTGATGTTATCAAAATGGGACTCTACTAGGTTTAAATCATGGAAGTTTAGCTGGAAGGGGTGTTAGATAAGCTGAGAGAAATTTCTTATTCTGTCTTTCTACTCACAGAAGGATTCTGAAACAGAATCTCTGCAGGAGCTTAGATGGTTGTGTTCATATCAAAGATATGTACAAATATTTTTGGTTTTGAATTGATATTTTAGTGAGTGCTTTCCTAAACTTGGGATGGTAGTTGAAAGTAGAAAAATAGGAGAGAATGTCTTGAGAAAAATAGGAGACAATGTCATATATATATATATGAGAGAGAGAGAGAGAGAGGGAGAGAACGGGGGGGAGAGAGAAAGAGAGAGAGAGAGAGAGGAAGAGAGGGAGAGAGGGAGAGAGACACACTGATTTGTTGTTCTACTTATCGATGTACTTATTGGTTGATTCTTGTATGTACCCTGACCGGGGATCAAACCCTCAAACCCACAACCTTGGTATATTGGGATGATGCTCTAACCAATGGAGTTAGCAGGCCAGTGCCATGAGATGTTTTCATTTATCCTGAAAAATTTTAGTTTAATTTGCTTATGTTCTAGGATAGTGTAGCCTATCCTAGAAAAAAAAAAAGATTTATTTTCTTAGATAGTACTTGCCTAATGAATGTAGTATCTTTTCCTTAGGTCTCTACAAAATATAAACTGATTTGAAAACAGAACATTTTCAGCTAATATTTTCAGTTGATGAATCCTGCATATTACTGTTTAGACATCCGTATATGGCTGTGGAAATGGCAATTTTTTATGTGAATGTCACTATGCTGTAAGTGTATTAAAGTAGCTTAGCCCAGCTAAGTCCTGTCTGCCAGAGACCCAAATTATATTTTTAAGAAATTAAATAGTGGAAAAATTGAGCTAGGTTTTAAAAAAAATCTAAAATAAACAAGAGCAAGGAGATGGAAGAACAACATCACTTTAGAAGCTTTTGTTGAAGTCCAGCCTGTGAGGGTCTGACTGAAGCACTGCACTGAGAATGGAATGGTGGTCATGCGGGAGGTTTCAGAGGACTTTTGAAGAGGGAAGTGCATTAACTACTAGACTTCATTATTGGGGGAATGCCTGCAGGACATCCTAGTAGAGAGAAATGTGTCCATTTAGAGTTTTGGCTTATACGCACATGCTTGGTAGATCTCAATGATGGCTGAAGCCATGAGAAAACATAAAGTATCTAAAGGAATGATTATTAAAGTGGGAATAAGACCCAAATGTAAAATCTCTGAGAGGTGAGCAGAGAAGTGGAGCTTTGAGAGAGTGGTTGAAGTGATAAGAAGAGAACCCTACATCAAAAAGTTCTGGCGATGACTCAGACACATAGAAAGAGAAGTTGAATAAGGATGAGTGGTGTGGGTTCAAGCACTGTCCAAATGTTTGGGTGTTCTGCTTTTAATGGCCATTCTGGGATCTGAGCAAGAGGGTCCTTGGGAGAAATGGTGGAGTCATTTACCCTGTAGATGGGTGGTAGTAGACCTCAAGAAGATCCAACTACTTTTGCTCTTATTCATTGCTCACCAGGCAACCCTTTGACCTGTAATTCCATCTTAAGTGAAGCCACCCCAAGATACAAGGTTGACTGTAGGTCTATAGATACAAGGTTGGTTCTAGTTCCTGGACCAGAAATAATCATTATAAATATAAAAGTTGCCCTCCTGATTTATCACATATATTATCGTTAAAAAAGCACAGAGATATCATGCAGTCAAGACACAGTTCTTCCCTCAGGACGTCACATCATCCTAGTTTATAGAATTAGGTGGTACAATGCTGGGCTAACTCAGGGCTCTTTTGTATTTACTCCGCCTCTCTGTCTTTTAACCACTGGCTAGTTTAATTAGAGTGAACTAGTTCTCAAGAGGCTGAGTTTCTTGAGGTAAACTATAAATATCATTTTCTTCTTATATTTTTAAAGCCCTGGAATAGTATTTGGACTGTGACGGCCGCACCAGGGTGCACCACCACCGAGTGAGGCTCTGCTTGACGCTTACCTCTTCCCACCCCTAATATCACCCTGCCTCTTTCATGGTTTCCTGCATTGGAGTGACCCTGGTTAATCCATGAAAAAAAATTAGCTCCTTGTGACTCTGATCTGGTGAGGGTAGCTCTGTACCCTGAGAGCATATACCCAGAGGAGACACAGGTCAAAAGGTACACTTTCCTGAGAAAAGTGATCAGCACATAGCGTGCTATGAAATCAGAGCTTTGTTTCACAAATCTTTGCAACATGGCATGTTTCACAAATCTTTGCAACATGGTGCCTACAAAGCACGAAGAATAAAAGCACCACCTTCTGTGCCTCAAAGTCCCACTTTTATAGCTCTTGTTTGCTTTGCTAATTAAGAGACTTTCACAACTCCCTCTTGACCTAAATGTGTGAAATGTTGCCTGTTGTTTTGGCTCTTCTAATAGCTTTTGTTTGGCACATTCTGAATTTATAAGGTCAAATGTAATTAGCTCCAGATAGCTAAGTCTCCTTTTGGGAATAATTTCAAGGAGCAGTACATCTCAAAATCTACTTAAAAGTCTCTAACCTCTTTGTATCATTCAAAAAAAGAAATGTTTAAATCTCTAACCGGGCTTTGTTTTCTGGGAGGGTAAATGAGAAGTTTGGGGGAGTAACTGGGCTGAGCCAGGTACTTGTGCTCCAGGTTGGGATTACAGGAACCCTTTTGGATGGACCTGTCATAGTTGTGCTTAAGATCAACACTCAGTCCCGCCATATGGAGCCAGACCTCTGGCTCTCATGGCTGCCACAGTTTGGCTCCGTGTACTGTTCCCTTAATGGGTGTGATTTGATAATCACCAAGCGGAATGCCTAGTGCAGATGGCCTCCCATGCTTCAGTGTACAGTGCCTCTGGGTATGGATGCTGTGCAGCCGAGTGATGTGGGCACGTAAGTGGGTGGAAACTTTCTAATGTGTCACAATAATAACAATGCAGAATCCTAGTGCTGTTCAGCTTCCCCTAGAACTTCAGCCCACGCAGCAGCCTACTTGGTTCGCAGTCCTCTGTGAACGCTAGACAATTAGCAGCTGATAATGAAGAATGCCATGGGAACCAGTGGGAAAATAATAGCTTACTCCAAGAATATAATGAAATGAAATTAGCACAGACAGTAAAACAGACAATTTATGTTTTGTTGTTTTTTTGTTTTTTTGTAATTAAAAGGAACCAGTAAACAGTTCTAGTAGAGAAATTTGAGAATTGAACAGAATCTGATCTGTTTTGGAAGGGGGTTTTCTTCAGAAAATAACCTCAGAGAAGTTTCTAAGCTTCTATTAAGGAACCAGAGTAGGTAAAAGGTACCGATTTTGTTTGAATGCAATAATAATTTTGTTTACTTGTTGTTACCTAAATAGTGTCACGTGGTCTGAACTTTAGAAAAGTAGCTAGCACTGGAGAATGGATTTTACTGTTGGGTTTTACACTCTTAGCTGAAATGTCAGTGGATTTTGAGTTTTCTCAACAAATTCTTAGTTGCAGGGCAAACTTGTACATCTGTGAATGGATAACTTTCTGAACACAAGGAAATATTTCTTTTGTCTGAGAAACTGGGGATGTAAACTGCCCATGAATCTTTTTTCCATTTTTAGATGTTCCATATGCTGCCTAGTCCTGGAGCATAAACCTCTACATACTACCTTTGGAGTCAATAGTTAAAGTTTGAAGAATCTTTATAATAATCATTAAAAATATTTAATTGTTTTAGACTGCAAGTAAAAATGTTTTCATTTTTTTGGAGGACATTGGATTGGCAAAAACAATTTTGTTAAAGTTTCAGTCTGTGTGGGCAGCCTTCCACAAGTTGGAAAGTAAAGAAGTTATAAACAAATCAAAATTATATTTCACTCCAAATGCTCTCCAAATGCCTTTGTTTTGGGGAGTTGAAGAAAATAAGATATCTTTCTTCTAAGATATTTTGTCTTTCTGAAGTAGATTTGTCTCTCAATTTCTCTCATTTATAAAAATATTCTTTTTTTTTTACTTGAAAGCTAAATTGCCACATTGATTCAACAGCCATTTTACCAAAAACATCTAAGTATATTCTCTGATGGGCTTTTATTAGGCATATGTTCCTAATTTTATCACATAATTATATATAATAGTATATTACATTACTTGGCAAATGACATATAAATCGTACAAGGCCCATATATCGCTCAATTAAATTCAGCAATTTAGCATGCCATTAAAAATTTACCAATCCAAAACTGTTGACTGTAAGCTTATAAACCATCAACATCATTTAATTCCATTTGCTTCTTTTCTATCTTCTTCCCCGTCTGGGAAGATACAGGAAAGTGGAGAGGTTGGGGACAGCGGATAATCACTAAAGTATTCAGAGAAACTAAGGCAAGTGAAGAAAATCTCAAAGATTCCCTCCATGGACCTCTTTTTGCATTTCAGCTATTTTCATCATTAATTTTTGAGCTAACTATCTGAGGATTAAGAGAAAGGAGAACACACTTACTAACAATTTTTGGCTTTTAGAAGTGTGTGTGCACATGTGTGTGTTGATGCTAAGGGAGAATTTATATTTTAAACATGGAAAGCAGGCAGGTTAGGTTATTTCTCAGAAGATGGACACATATTTCAACACACATATATTGCTACATGAAAGATAGCACTCCTTGTATACCCCCAAATGCTGTGTTCTCAAGTATTTTGAGAAATGGTTGGTTGCTAGTGACTCCATATGTTGCTATGTTTTATTTTGGAACATGTTAAAATCTCACTAAGGTTTCATTAAACCATTTTTTTTCCTATTTTTGAAAGGTCTGTTTTTTTTCCTTCCAAAGAGTTTGTTTGAATATGCAGTTGACATATCCTTCTTAGCTATTACTAGGAAGAACATTTAAAGGGAACCACTCATTTTTCTTACATTAAATATATATTTTATATTTCATAGTTCTATAAATTAAAATAAAATGATTGTCCACAAAGGTTGTTGAGGTTATAATGCTTAACTAAACCTAAATTTATGACATTAACAAAATAATAAACGGCAAAGCATCAAAGGCTTTGTTCTCTTATTTTTGAGTTTCAGAAGCATCGCTGTAGGAAGAAATGAAAATTAAAGCCCTCAATTTAACTTGTTCTGTATTAATTTTTAAGTGACATTTAATTTTGTAGTTGATGTAAATGTTGGTAGGTATAAGTAAATGAGTCTAACTGTACATATATTTTGAATTTAAGCATTGATGTAGCTGTATGTGAACTTGGCACATTGATATTCAGCACTTGAAAGTTTCTTATTTTTTACCTTCTGTTCCTTTTGGAGGTGTCAAAGAAAGTTCGAATATAAACTATACATCAAGGGCCTCAACTCTTATTGTGCCAAAATTGATTTCGAGAACATGACCTTGTTTTGCAAAAGCTGCTCTTATTTAATGCTATAGGTCTTATTGTCACCCCCTAGCCCTGCAACCAAAGGAGCCTGGGCTTGGGTTAACCTGAGTTGTAGACATCTGTGCTCTGCTCAGTCACCTTTACTCTGACCTTGTTCACTGTTCTTCCTGGAGAGCTTCTTAGGTCCTCAGGTGGCTGAATCCCTGGAGGAGGATGTAGACATTCCCAGGCAATCCTGAATTCTTTTTAAAATCTGTTTTTATTGAGATATAACATTGCATGAGTTTAAAGTATAGAACATGTTGATTTGATACACTTGGGTGTTGCAATGTGACTACCACTCTATCACTAGCTAACACATCTATCATGTCACATAATTATCATTTCTTTTATTTGTGGTGGAACAATTAAGGTCTAGTCTCTTAGCAGCTTTGAAGCTTATAGTATAGTATTGTTGTCTATCATCATTATGCTGTACATCAGATCAATCCTGGAATGCTAAGATGAAAAAACTTAGGTTCAAGTCAGGAACTTCTGCTGCATGACCATGCTTGAAAATTTCATAGAAACAATTTCAAAGTCATGCTGCTTTTTCAAGGGATATACACAGTTGTAATTATATCAATGAAAATGGGACTTTCAGGTGGTTAGATACTCAAAGATGGTAAGGATGTATGAGTGAGTTTTAGATTTACCTCAAGGTAGTGCCTACCCTAAGTTATGTATTTAAGGAGGTAATATCTTGGTACCTCAAAGTGGTGCCAAGAAAGTTTATTCCTGAGAAATTATAAGTTTACTTTTTAATTATTTCTGTTGTCACTGCTTATTTAGTTCTGATTCCCCCATTATCATTTTATTAAGTAAATTTTCTACTTCTCATCTTATTGCTAGTTCTTGTGAATCAAATGGCTTCAATTGGCAGTTGGTTGGCTTTTTTTTTTTTTTTTTTACCTCTCAACCAACTGTAGAATGAAATCTACAAACGTCTAGTGACTGCATGACATGCAGAGGCTCCTCTATTGATGTCAGTGTATGCTCTGTCCTCTCCTTGAGCCATGGCTTGATATTCAACAGATGGGGCTATCCATTGGAACATGGAAGATATATTTAACTTTGAGGAAGTTTTCATTCTGAACTATGTGACTGAATTTCACAGCCATCTGATTTCCAGTTTAGTAATTACTGGACTAATTAAATGAGTTATTCTGCAGATGGCACTTATGTTTTTTGACATATGTGCCCTTGTCATCTATTGCAAATGATACATATGATGCTTGTTCTTCACTATAGCATTTGTATATATGGCATGCAAAATGACTTTAAACTTCCCTGCCAAATTCTCCAATTTTGTTTAGATTCAGATGCAGCATCAAACCCACTTTGGCTTATTCTGACAGAGCTGTTGGCTTGCTGTGTTCAGTGTTACACATCGATGGTAGAGCTGTGCTGATTATAGTTGTCTTAACCTCTTATGTTTAAACTTTATTTTTAATTCTACATAATGAATAATAAAATTACAGAGTGTTCTAACAGGAGGAAAGTCACTTTCAAACCAAATCTAAGAAAACAATGATGTTATCTCGTATTTTCTTCCAATCTTTATTAAAATGATATACTTAGAATTTAAACTCTTTTTGAGATAAAATTTATATTCCATAAAATTAACACCTTCTTAAAGTGTACAATTCACTGGTTTAGTATATTCACAAAACTGCACAACTACCATTGCTATCCCACTCCAGAATAATTTCATTACTTCACAAAAGGAAACTGATACCCATTTGTAGTCACTCTTTATTTCTCCCTCCCCTCAGCTCCTGGGGGCAACAAAATATACTTTCTGTCTCCATGGATTCACCTGTTATGGGCATTTCATAGAACTGGAATCATATAATATATGGGCTTTTGTGACTTACTTCTTTCACTTAGCATTATGTTTTTGAAGTTCATCCATGTTGTAGCATGTATCAGGACCTCATTTTTTATTGCACAATAATATTCCATTGTTTGGGTATAGCACATGTTGTTTACCCATTTTTCAGTTGATGGACATTTGGGTTATTTCTACTTTCTAGCTCTCATGAATAATACTATCATGAAATTCATGAGCACATTTTTTTGTGAACATATATTTTCAGGTCTCTTGGGAAATACCTAGAAGTGGAATTGCTGGGTTATCTTTGGCATTTTAAAGAGGGCTGTTTGTATACAATCCTGGTTAAGCAATTCTTACAAGTCTGGGGTCACTGCCAACTTCTTAACCATTCTGTGATGCTCTATGCATGTAGAAAGTACATAAGCTAACCTACATTTAAGAAAGCATTTGGCTATCAGCCCCTTATATGCCCCTTCAAACTTCCCACTAAGTACTCCCGAACACATAGAAAAAGAAGAAATTGGAATTGACAGATTCTGGTAGGAAAATGAACTCTGTTGAAATAACCAAACTTGCCAAACTAAGCTTTCTTTATGCATCAGCCAGATTTGTACTTAATTCCTAGTATTCTCCACCAACTTGAGAAGTCAAAATGACTGGAAGTGCAC